AGTCTTGGAGGGTTTGCCCTGTGTTGATTGGTCAACTGGTTGTTATGGCCCATAGGCCCTCCCAGGGTGGTTGCTATGCTCTCTGTGTCATTGCTATGGGCTTGTCCATAAAGCACACCCAGAGTCATAAAGCATAGTGCCACCAGCTAACTTCTGATTGGTTCCTTGTCACGAGGCAGGCACCTAACCTCTAGTGACTAAGACAAGGTCATAGAGCACATGTTACTGTCATAGCTGCCGAAATGGGGAGCTGGTCCCTTCAGGAATTGAACTGAGGACCTCTGGAAGAGCAGTCGGTGCTCTTAACCTCTGAGCCAACTCTCCAGCCCCCAGATAATGCATTTTTTCCTGTCTCAAACTTTCCTGTCCCCAGTGAAGCCCCTGGGAGCCGCCATGAGGCTGGTCTGAGGCCTGACTCGGGAGGAACTATTTCCTTTTCCCTCTAATGTCTTTTTCTTCCAGATGCTGGCCCAGAACTCAGCATGCTTTGAAACTCCCTAACTAGCCCTTTGAACTTCTTCCCCTTGGTCTAGCTTCCCTCCCACCCTGCAACTATTCTCTGCCAGGTGGCTGACCTCCACTCATCTCTGTCTTATCTCAGACATTGTGGCCTTTGTTCCTTCTCTCCTCCACCTCACCCCATCCCCACCCCTTTCCCGGCAGCTGTGACTAGTCCAGCTTGCCTGCCCTGGAGTTTTCCTTTGAAACCTCCAACTGCCATTTATGGTGATTCTTAAAGTCTTTTATTAATGAGACTGAGAACCCAAAAAGGGGACCCCAATTTCCCAGGTATCATATGATGACTCTACTGGGACTTCCCAAGATTTCTGGAGCACTTCTTTCCTGCCTTTTAGATAGTTAATTGACAGGGAAAAAAAAAAAACTGTTCCTGCACCTGCAGAGAAGCATTGTTCCGTGTGTCAGAGCCCCTCTGCCTCCGTCCTGCCATCTGTTGGTCCCACCTGTGTGATCAGATATCACCCCCAGTTCAGGAGATCCCCTAGCATCTGTGAAGGGGGAGCATAACCACAGGCATCAACCATACACGGTTGTACCTCAAAGGACGAAAAATTGGTCTCCCTGGCACTAACCTGGCACTGAGCATTTCTGCTCCACCCAACTGGAACCCCAGGATCCATATGTCAAGGGCCTGAGATCCATCCATCGCGGACCTGAGAAATGACAGACCCTGGGGGTGGTTCATTGGGAACCCAGAGCCTGCTCAGTCCATCTGCACTGCATAACCAGCAGCCCATGTCTTGAGGGACTGATGGACAGAAGTCTGTTTCTCATTGCTCTGAAAGCCATGGTCTGCTATGTGCCCCTGTCTTGTGAAGTACCCTCAGATGTCAGAAGGGGCCAAGAATGTCCCCCTCCCCACCTCACTGCCTCCTGATCCTCCTCCAACACCATGACCCTGTGACAGTTTCAATAGTGAAACTGAGGACCACCAGTAAAAGTGAGGAACCCTGTAAGAGGGTGATCAGCTTCTCATCAGGTCACCAGAAGGACCAGCATGCCATGGGCCTGAGCTTGAGGTCTGTGTGGGCGTGTGGAAGGCAGAGGAGATGGGAAAGGGGTCTGAGGCCCAGCTCCAAAGTCCCTCAAGATGGGAAGAGAAACTTGGGAAATAAAAGGGCCGCACATCGCAGGTAGAATGGGTAAATAACATTATTATTGTTCTGACCTCTGGTGCCCCTGCCCGCCCACGCCCAGGCCACGAAGCTCAGCGAATCACGTACACAGGCGAAAGGATGCACTTGGGTGTTTACTGGGAGTGGGCTGGAGATCAGGCCTGACTGTCACACTTTCTTGGTGATATATTTGGGGGTCGCAAGCTCAAATATTCGGGGAGAAGCCTGGGCCACCAGAGAGGCCGGGGAGATATAGTATGGGTTATAGCCCTCGTTGAGATCCTTTCGTATTTTGGGCTGGGCAAGAGAGATGATCCGTGAACTGGCCACTGCTTTCTTGGTGACATCCAGGATCTCCCACTGAGGATTGCGATCAGGAACACATTTTTCTGACAGGGCCTTGGGTGCTAGAGGGCAGAAGAGAGGAATAATGCCAGACTCAGACTTTTCAGGCAAAGCTCCAAGCTTGGTCTGCCCACCAGCCAACGAGTGACAGAATCTGTGTGAGCCACATGCACAGTGTCACTCAGAGCACATGGCATCCACACACCGGAGTATTACACAGCCATGAACAGGGCAGGGGCTCAGAAACAACACAGAATAAGGGATTGGGGCGGGGGAGGGAGGAGCTCAAGGACAGGGAGAGGACCAGACACAAAAGGACACACAACATAAGAGTCCAAGACAGGAAACATCCACTGCAGGTGAATCCAGAAAAGAAAGTAGATTCAGGGGTGCAGGAGACCAGGGAGGAAACCCAAGAGACTGTTCATGAGGACAAGATTCTCTTTTGTGGTGATAGAATGTTCTAGAACTGGTTAAAGGATGATTGGACAACTTTGTGAAAATATCGAAAACCAACTTTCAAGAGAGTGAATTGTGAAGATGTTTCAGTTGGTCACGGTGCTCAGAAAAGAGGCCGAAGCTACCAAGGAGAGAATGGGTCCATCTCCACCTGGACATGATGGCAGTGGTGAAAAAAGGAAGAGCCTGGCCTTTGGGGCTGCTATGAGATGGGGTGTATGGTTACAGGCTTCTCCCTGGCTGGAGCCTCTGGGCCTTTTCCTTGCCAGCCCATCTCACACTCCCATACTCCCAAAACAGAGCATCTGTAGCCTCCCTGTCTGCCTGGGTCTCAGTGAAGATGGACGAGGCCCCCAGGGCCAACAGCCTGACTGCATAGAGGCCCTGGGGAGAGAAATGGAACCCTATGATGCTGAATCACCATGGAAACACACCTCTGGGCATGTCTGTGAGAACCTTTCTAGAAAGGTTGAACAGAGCCAGCAAAGTCCACCCTGAACATAGCAGCACTGTCCCAGGGACTGTCCCTTCAAACTGTGAGCCAAAAGCAGACCTTCCTTAAGTGCTTTCTTTGGGTATTTCTGTCACAAGAGGGAAAGCAGCTATTGCAAGCCCTTTCCCTCAAAACCCAAGAGGCCCCCAGGCTGGGTCACAGCTCTACTGGCAAAGGTCCTGGGACAGAAATGAGCCAGTGCCTCCCTGGACTAGGGACATTGAAGCTCTCAGCCATTGTAACTCCTAAGGTTTTCTCTCTTTAAAAATGATTTTATTGTTCTATATGTATGAGTGTTTTTGTCCATGTGCACATCTGCACACCACATGAATGCCTGGTGCCCTCAGAGGCCAGAAGAGAGTGTTGGATTCCCTGGAGCTGGAGTTACTGATGGTTTTGAGCTGCCATATAGGTGCTGGGAGGAATCAAACCTAGGTCCTCTGGAAGAGCAGCCAGTGCTCTTAACCAATGAGCCATCTCTCTAGCCCAACACCTGGGCACTTAAACTCTGTGAAGCATAGCATGACTGTGGAGAAGAGAGAACCCCCCACCCCACCTCCCGCCCAGCCCCGCCCCAACAGGACTGACAGAAGCAGAACTGGGCGTGCTCTTACCCATAGCTAAACACACACATTTGCCAGCAACAGAGCAAGTGCCTGGTGTAGCCCAGCACCAAGAAGTGCTGGTCACAGTCCTTTGTGGCTGGGCACTTGTGTCTAACAGCAAAGCCTGAGGCTGCCCTCACCCACAGTGTACACACACAAAGACATGCATGCTCACACATGCTCACACCACCTTGGACTCAGCCCTCACCATCTGGTATTGCGAGAACAAACAAGTGAACAAACAGAAAACCCCACAGGTAAAAATTTTAAGAGTACAAGGCAAGATTGGAAGGAATAACTTCAGGGAGTCTGACAAAGGATTGAATTATCATCCTCTATAAAAAGCAGCTGCAAACTGTACACCAAAACTCAGGGCAGAGATAGCTGGGGAGGAGGTGGGGAAGACAATGCAAAAGTCCAGCCTCCTAATCGACAGGCATCGGCCAAGAACAGCACAGACACTGTGGCTCTTCAAGCTGATGGATGCTCAGGTCCAGCACACGGTGAACAGAACAAAGACACACCTAAACATGCATCACTCATAAGTGGTGATGCCATATGCAAAAAATATGTAGACTATGCCAGGGCTCCCTGTCTGAGGAAAACAGGGTACAGGAATAACATGGGGGGAGAGTCCCGAGGCCGACAATATGTTAGGTTATCCACTGAAGGTCACCAAAAACCCATCGGCTGCTGTGTACTGGAAGGGGGAGTCTCGGGGACCCCAGTGTGCTAAAGGCACAGCCCACTGGATTCTGGCCTGGTATATGTGGGGTGAGGGTGGAGGGACAGCCTAGAAGAGGCATCTGAACTTGACCACACAGGCTCTGCACTGTGTGTATGAAGTGTGTGACCTCTAAGCTGTGATATTAGATTATTACTTTCACTTCCTTTTCTAGGCACTTTTGTCTTTTCCATGAAGAGTGCATACTATTGTTACTGGTGAATGGCGACTCGACTTTCACACAGATGGGAATCAAACGAGTAATTGTTTCAAAGCAACCCTCACAGCTCAGTCTGGCTGCCAGCTGTATACCCTCAGCTTCATGTCCGCACACGCTTTCTTTGCTATGACCTCTGATAGTTCCCAGGTTTCAGACATTCTACAGTTGAGGATGATGAAGCTCAAGGAAACATACTCCTGGCAAACACGGGCTCATCTCCTCATCCACACCCAGGAGGGTAGCCACTCACTTGCCAACTGAAGGAGGCGGTTATGATCCGACACGTGAGGCTTGGGCTTCGGCATAGGGTCCCACTCTTCCATCAGGATGGCTGGGGGCCTGGGCTTTGCCAGGTTAAGGGTCCGTGGGGTGGGGACTGCCGTTTGGGCTGCTCTGGATACCTGGGAAATCTGGAAACAGGAGCGGAGGGCAAGAGTGAAGCAGCCATGACTCCTCAAGCCTGTGGAACAGGAGTACCCTGACTCCCAGGGAGAAATTAGGTTTGCAATATGCTCAACAAGGATTAGTGGCCTTAGTACACCAAGAGCCCCTCTGAGGACACTGCAAGACAGCAGTGCTCTCATCTGACTTGGCAAAAGTAAATCATAAAACAAAATACCAGAAATCATAATAGCCCAGCATGGTGTCACATGCCTTTAATCTGGCATTTGGGAGGACAGAGGCAGATATATCCATGTGAGTCTGAGGCCAGCCTGGTGTACAGACTGAAACCTTGTCTCCAAGTGAATTAGATACATACATACATACATACATACATACATACATACATACACACACATTAGATAGATGATAGATATATAGATAGTTACATAGATAGATAGATGGTAGATAGATACACAGATGGCAGATATAGTAGATAGATGAGTGATAGATGAGATAGATGATAGATAGTTATATAGATACATAGATGATACAGAGATAGATAGATGATAGACAGACAGACAGACAGACAGATAACAGAGAGAAGACAGGCTATCCCTGGACAATCACTTGAAAATACTGGTGATGATGTGGTAGCAAAGACACCGTGCACAACAGCAGGACAGCAACTCTGTACACAGCTTTGAGGTGTCTTTGTGACTCGGAGTGAACCCCGAGGCTCTGGCATCAATGCATAGAACACACACAAAACCAGCAGGTAGCTGTGCTGAATTCACCTGATCAATGTGAGGCACGGGTTCAAATGCATCCACATAAGCCAAGTGTATAACAGAGGGAGGGAGGTGGACACCAGTCCCCAGCAAAGATGAAAACAGAATGAGCTCCTGAGATGCAGTGGGAATATGAAGATGCCACAAGGGGCTGCTAAGGTGGAGGGGGAGCCACGGAGGTGCTGCTGAAGTGGGAAAAAGAGGTAGGCCAAAGAGCATATATCACTAAGATATGTTCTTTTTAAAAATATTTTTTGTAATTTTTGTGTCTGGGCATGACATGCATGCACTGCCTTCAGTAGCCAGAAGAGGGTGCCAAATCCTCTAGAACTGGAGTCATCACCAGCAGGCGTGTGCTGTGGATGGAGCCCAGGTCCTCTGGAAAAGTAGCTAGTACTCATAACAGCTGAGCCATCTCTCCAGCCCCCAAACCACTGTCCAAGGCCTCAGAATTAGATCTGTGGCTGCTGCTCATCACCCACCTTTGAAAAGCCCCTGCAATTCCCAGCCTGAGTCTTCCCCACTGACCCTCTCACAGGTCTCTTAACCTTGCTCCCTCACAGGCCCAGAGAGAAGTGTAGCCGGGCTTGTTGGGCTCTGCAAAAGCCAATGCACAGAGGATGCAGTGCCAGCCCTTGTGAGTTGGTTTCAGGACTTCATGATGGGAGACCAGGCCAGTGACCACAGTGAAAAGACACTCCAAGGCCTTGTGTGGGACTAGTGTGACTGAGAAGTTGTTCTAGGCAAAGCCAGGGCTTGGCTGAGGCTAGACCTTCACCTGTTACAGGGGAGCAGCTTGCAGAAGGATAGGAAGTTCCCAGTGGGGTCTCAACTCCAGGCCCAGAAACCTGAACTCTTCAGAGGATCCTGGCAACTCCAGAGGCCTTAGGGGATTGCAGCAGGAAGAATGTGGGTGCTTCACACCCAGTGTGAGGGTGGGGCAGGAGGCAGTGGGTGGGAAGAACTTGTTTGGATCCAAATGAAATCCAAGTCACCATTAAGACTAGCAGGGAATTCAGTGAGGGCCACACTTTTGGAATGTTAAGGAATTATTCATTATTTTTTTTTAGTGTGTTTTTGTTCTGCTTTTAAATTTTACTTGGTCTATTAGAAATGTGTATGGGAGTGTTATGAGGGAGATGGTATATTGCTGGGACCTGTTTTGTGTTTTTGAAACTGGGTCTCACGTAGCCCAGGTTGGCCTTGAACTTGTTAAGTAGTTGAAGGTGGCCTTGAACTCCTGACCCTCCTACATCCACCCCATGAATGCCATGAATGACAGATATGTGCCACCACACCTGGCTGAACTTTGGTTTGGTTTGGTTTTAGGTAGGGGTTGTTTGTTTTTGTTTCTGAGACAGGGTCTCTCTTCATAGCCCTGACCATCCTAGAATTCACTATGTAGTCTAGGCTGGACTTGAACTCACACAGGTCCTCCTGTCTCCTGCCTCTTCCTGCCTCCTCCAACCTCCTCCTGCCTCTGCAGTGCTGGGATTAAAGGCATGCACCACCATGCCTGGCAGGACTTTGGTTTTGGAGACAGGGTTTCTCACTAACTCTGGGGTTCACTGACTCAACTAGACTGTCTGGCCAGGGAACTCCAGCTGAACTTTAAAATTATTTTACAAAGCAGGTTCAGATGACCACAGAGTGACTGGTCACATCCCTTTGGGTGGTGTCACTTCACAGTGGAGCCCCCATGCCAGCTAGACACCAGATGCTAGGTTGACTTTGAGTGATCAAGAAGCTTTGGGGGCTGGAGAGATGGCTCAGAGGTTAAGAGCACTGACTGTTCTTCCAGAGGTCCTGAGTTCAATTCCCAGCAACCACATGGTGGCTCACAACTATCTTTATGAGATCTGGTGCCCTCTTCTAGAGTGCAGATATACATGGAGGCAGAATGTTGTACACATAATAAATAAAATTAAAAATAAAATTAAAAAAAAAAGCTTTAGAATCCCAGGAGGCCTCAGAGGGCAGGAGAGGTGAAAAGGATCAAGGGCCAGAGTGGGGGTGGGGACAAAGTTTTCCAGATGAACCAGTGAACCCACCCACCTTATAAAGGCTGCACCTGGTCTGTCCCCTCACCTACACCCAAATGCAGCTGCCCCCACTGTCCCTCCCACTTGGAGGGTGTGGCAAGCACCACCTACCTCAGACATATCGATGCTCCAGATGTTATTGCGAACCTTTGGAGTAGCCAGTTGCTTCAGCCGGTTAGAAGGTTGATACTCCAAAGTGGACCGAGGGATGGGCCAGATGGGTGTGGTCCTAAAAGGCACCCAGAGTTCAGCCATCATCCTGCCCCTCTGGAGAGCCATGAGGGGCTAACCATGTATGTGGTCTTTCTCAGACTGCTCAGAATGCTCCTGGGATGTGTGAACCTCAGGGCACTGGGGCAGGAAATGCCTCCCAGAGGAGATCCAGCAAGGGCCAAAACGGGCCTCTCCCAGGTGTGTCCAGTCCAGAGTGAGGTACCCTTGGGTATGTACTTTCTTTTTCCACTTTCCCAGGTGGTAAAGGGCCAGCCGAGGTCCCCATCAGGAGCCAGAGACAACGGGTCCTGTGACTGCCCCAGAAGATTGGGAAGGCAACTACCCTAAGCTCAAAGGGTAAAACCGGGTCCCATCTCTGCCATGTCCAGGAGTAAACTCTGCCACAAGAATGCCACTGCTGACAGATCTTCTGTGATCACTAAAGCCTCCCCTTCCAGCAGCTGCCAGAGGCTGGAATGCGGCGGCTCACTCTGAAATCCACCCCAGTGATAGGAGCATTGCCATCCACAGGTGAGCTTGACTTTAGCCTCATCCCACTCAGGTGACAACATGGCACTGATGCAGAATGGGACTGTGCATAAACACAGGTGGGAAAACCCAGGATCCCACAGTGGTGGCATGGGGACCACTTCAGCCCTCAGTGGGGTATATTTTCTCTGTGCACAAAGACAGCAAAGCCTTTGGGGAGCCCCTTTTGAGGGCCTTACCCTGCCTGGGGAGTGGAGGGGGGGATGGCTAGGGGCAGGTGGGATGTTGAGGGTAAGGGGGGGGAGAGGGAGAAGGGATTGACATGTGAAGCAAGCTTGTTCCTAATTTGAACTAATAAAATAAAATAAAAAAGTATAATGCAATTTTTGGGGAAAATGATCTCAATCACACATGTACAATAAAGCTTAAGATGTGACAAAAAAAAAAAAAAAAGGACAGCAAAGCTTTGCCTGGGTGGCTCTGAGGACAGGGTTCAGAATGCATGATTGGCCCTCCAGGTCCCTCCTCTGTTACCTATAGTCATGAACGCCAATGACACAAGGCCAGGTTGATCACCTATGGGTGCTATCCCCATGACCCCCAAGGTCAGTCAACCATGGGACGTTGGCTAGGAGCTCTTGAGACTCAAGTCCCAGAAGTGAGATTTGCTAAGCCCATCCCAGAAAGAAGCGGGAGGAGGCTCAGCGCCTCAGTCCCTCAGTCCCTGCTGTCCTCTCTCACCTGTTGTTGTTGTAATACTCGAGGTAGAACCTCTTGGGCCTTGACAGCTCCTCCACTCGGCGGGACACCGCTGAATGGAAACGGTCCAGTCACCACAGCTACACTGGGCCCCGCGGGAGCCACCCTCTACCCCAGGGCTCTACTCAGCCCTCCGCCAGTACAGCAGGGGCACAGCCAGAGACATAGGTGAGCATTGCCAAAAAGTGTTGACAGCCATCCTACCATAGGCAGGACAGGCATAAAACAGTGGAGAACAGGACCACAAGACTATGATTCTTTCCACCCCAGGGTTGAACACAAGAGGCTCATAAACTGGGGTTTTGTTGGAAGTTATTGCCAGCCTAGGTTTTCTAGGGTACATGGGCCGTGGCCGAGTCTGGAGCCCCAGGAGAGACCCTGCTTGGCTCCGCTCATTCACATAGGAGCTCTTGTTGGCCGGGGGCGGGGGTGGCACTTTATTTGGAGGAGTCCATGCTATCAAAAAAGATGGATCCCATTTGGGGAGGAAGATGGGATCTCTATAAAACAAATACTAGCCCTGCCCAGATTTGCCTTGAAGACTGCCCTGAATCCCTCCCCCTGTGATACAGCTACAGGGTTCTAGCCACTCAGGGAGGTGGGGGAAGACTGGAGTCCTGGGAGGTGGGTGGAGGCTAGGTGGCCACATGCTGAATGGAACCAGCAGGCCCAAGGCCAGGCAGAGGACACCCAGGCTGCCCTGGAGAGACAGAACCTACCAGGGACCGTGATGGTCAAGGTGGTGTCCTCCATAAATCGCTCGGTCCAGTATACAGAAGGCCTGGAATACAGCCAAGCAGCTCAGGGCAGAGTGCCCTGTGCCCTGTGCCCTACTGGGGAAGGGAAACTGGGGCCCCGGAACAATGGACAGGAAGCTGGGGAGCCAGGGAGGACAGCATGAGGGAAAGGAAGGACGACAGGAGAAGGAGGTGGGCTGGGGTAGGCAGTGAGCACCAGGGAAACAGATTGTTCCGATCTGTTCCATGTTCCAATATGGGGCAGGTGGAAAAAGCCAAGTGCAACTTAGAGAGCTGGGCCCCTCAGGTGCATTGACACTGCCCAGCAGGCCCAGTGCACAGCAGGAGGATGGAGGCAGGACAGCCCTAACATGAGGAAGAACCCTCCACCCCCAGAACCTGGTCCCTGGAGAGAAGGCAGCTCAGGTGTAGCCCTGGGGCCTGGCAGGTCCCTGAAATGGACAGGTGACACAGGGAGGGGACACCCCAACTCACCAATACAGGCAAAACTGCAAGTTGCTCTTGTGTGGGGAAATCCAGGCATAGCCCTTACAACAGCACCCCGTCCTGCGATGAGACAGGGTCCCAGGCCCTGCCTTTGCCTCTGGGTCACAACTGGCTCCCGGATTCCTCACTCTCCTCTGGGTACCACCTCAAGGGTCCCACTTCTGTTGTCCTGCCTGATGCCTCCCCAACAGCCCATGTATTCTCTAGGTGTCCTGCCCAGGGTGAAGCAGGGAGGGAGGAATGGGTCGAAGATGGGGTCAGAAGAGCATGGCAGGCCTGGGGCTCCCACTGCCTCACCACCTCATGGGCCCCAGCCCTCACCTGTCTCTCAGGCATTGCCAGTTGGTCTTGGGCTTTGCCAGCTCCATCAGCCTCCGGCTCTTCTTTCTCCTGCCCCTGGCTATGGAGATGCTGGGAGTCGGCTCAGAGATGGACAGCTGGCTACAAAAGAGTTTCATGTTAGGGTCTGATGGTCTACCTTGATGTGTCTGGGAACCTACAGAGCAGTCTGCCCCCACCCCAAGTCAGGAATCTTTGATCTGCTCTGGACCCCTGGAGCCTTGTCATTCTCTGTGAAAGAGTTTGGCATCACCCAGGCTCCACACTGTCCAGAAACTGAGCCCTGAGCCCAGGGAACCGGAAGAAGCCAGCTCCCACCTCCTGGGCTGTTGGGAGAATGAACATGATGCTCACTTGCTGTGGAATATTACTTTAAGTATGTAAAGGTGTGTTACATTTGTTTCTGCTGCATTTGTTTAATGATGTAAAATGTGTCGCCTTGCCTGCCTAAGGCACCTGATTGGTCTAATAAAAAACTGAACAGTCAATAACAAGGCAGAAGAAGGATAGGCGGGGCTGACAGGGAGAGAGAATAAACAGGGGAATCTAGGTTCCAGAGGAGAGAGAACAAAGGAGAAAGAAAGGGAGACACCCAGGGACAGGCAGCCAGGCAGCCACCAGACACACAGACAGAGTAGGAAAGTAGGACATACAGAATGAAAGGTAAAAAGCCCTGGGGCAAAATGAAGATGAAGAGAAATAGGTTAATTTAGGTCATAAGAGCTAGTGGGACAAGGCTAAATGAAGGCTGAGCATTCGTAGCTAACATTAAGTCTCAGTGTCATGATTTGGGGAGCTGGTTGGTGGCCCAAAGAAAGCCTGTCATGCTCCCTTTTCTCACTGTTTACTGGATAGCTGGTGTGTGCCATGCCCCAGAACAGGACAGTTACCAACAGCATCCCTGGCCTCTGGGGAAACTGCAGTGCTCTTAAGGGAAGGACAATGAAGATAGCCAGGATAGACTGGTGTACCAGCATATACCTCCTCCTGGCACCCAGCTGCCCGCTGGGTCCCCAACACCTACCTCATTTCAACCACTTCCACCTCCAACTCTCGTCGAAGTCTATCATCCAGATTGGGAATTTCAAGGAGCTCTTCCCCAGGTACCTCCTCTGGGGGAACATCTTCCTCTGTGTCTTCTGAGGCTAGCCCTGCATGAGTAGCCTGGGAACTCTGAAGCCAAGGGCTCTCAAATGTTGTACTCTGGAGGCCCATATTGCCACTGCCCAGAGTATCACTCTGACCATGCCCTGACGCACCAGAAGCCTTGGCTTCCAGGACAAAGTTGTTGAGCAAACTGGCTCGGTGTTCACCAAGTTCCCCCATGTGCTCAGCTCCTCCTAACCCTTTAACCTCACTCCCTCAACACCCAAACAGATCTGTGGTTGCCACAGCAATTGGAGAATGCCCAGGTTCTGAGGTTCCAGTTCCACGTGGTCTGGGAGCTAGGCCTGAGGTGCACAGCTCAGGGTCCCACCATACGTGTCTTTCTTTTGGAGTGAGGGACAAGCCATAACAGGATCTCACTATGTATCCCCAGGTCTCAAACCCAAGGTCCTCTTGCCTCATCCCCCTGAGTGCTAAGATAACCCATCTGCACTGGACTCCACAAGCCCAGATTCAAATGTCATGGGTGTTGATATCCTGGCTTCTCCCTCTTCCCGGGTCCTGGGCAACCTGGCCTTGTTCCTGCTCCTGACTCCTCTCCTCCCACCCCAGTGGTTTCTCCTCAGCACCAGCCTGTCACTCCACATCAGCCCTCTCCTGGGCCTGGGCCTTCTCCTTAGAGAGCCTTTCCTGGTCGAGGGGCCTCTCTAATCCTCTGGCTCTCTTCCCACCCCTGGATAGCTCTTGTCTGGGTTGCCTTCCCTCACCCTGGGATCTGTCTTTGAACGGTGATCGCTCCTCACTGACAGCTGTCAAAGGTTGCATGGCTTCATAAGGACTCTGCATGCAGAAACCAGCAGGGCTGGCTGCATCGTGCATACATTAGGTGATTGCATAAGGACTCTGCATGCAGAAACCATGAGGAACTGGGGCCACACGGAGCTGGGCCAATGGCAGCTCCATGACTCCAGCTTCAACAGTCCCAACTACTGAGACTCATTCTAAATTACTCCCGTTCCATATATAAGCAAGCACCTCCTGCCTGTTTTCTCTCTTTTTCCATTTCTGCTCCCCATCAGTTAACACCTTTGCTCCCTTTCCCAATAAACTCCATGCAGGTTTGTTGAGTTTGGTGGATTGTGTTTCATCACCTGAAGTTGCAGCAAAGATTAACAACAGGGGCTGTACCCCTGCCCGTGGATGGGTTTGTGGAATCCATGGGAATTTCTGGGCATGGATTCTTTTGGTTTTTTTGTTTGCTTGTTTGTTTGTTTGTTTGTTTGTTTTTCCTTAAGAGACCACATCTCTTCTTCCTGGTTCTGATTGGGCCTGTTTTTAATGTCTGATGCTCAACCATAGGGCCTGTTAACAGATGAGCCTCTGTTTCTGGAGCTTCCATACTTCACACCCTTGGAGATGCCTCTAAATCTCCACTTTGTCCTCTGGGAACTGACTCTGTGACATGAGTAGACTCTGTCCCCAGGTTATATAGGAAGTACCTCCCAGATATGCCACCTTGTACCCTCACAGTGAAATTATGGCTGTGAGAGGGTACTGTCAACCCGTCCCCCATCGCCAGCCTGTGAGGGCATCTCCAGGAAAGATTAACTGGTGGTGGGGAGACACTCCCCCAATCCTCACGGTGACAGTGATATCTGAGGGAAGACAGTGCTGCTGCCTGCTGGCCTTTGCTTCTTGCTGGAGTGTGTGTCTCCTCTGTCATTGCTCTGCTGCCACCTTCCTTCACTGACATCAGAACCCAGCTTCTCAATCTTCCAAGATGGCCTGAAGACTAGTGGTTCTCCAAGACCCCTCCAGGCCTTCAGTGCCAGATTGAGACTGGTAAGACATTGGCCTGACGGACAAGACAGTTGCCAGGCACTCAACCTCTGCAGAGCACAGGTAGCCATTGCTGAACTATCCAGCCCGTATCCTGTAAGTCAATCTGCTCAATGCCCTTTGCACAAATGCTCATCTGTCCTTTCTGATACCTTGGAGAACCCTGGCTAACACACATAAAAGGCAGAGGAACTGGTGTTCAGGCCCTGCCTGGGCAGTCAAGTATAAATCTCCACTACATTCTCAAGATGGAGAGTCCATCTTGGAGTTCCCAGGCAGGAAACAAAGTCCACCCCCATGCTCTCATGTTGCTGTCACCATGATGAGGTACCACAGGCTCAGCCAGAGAAAGCAGAGTTGCTTAACTGTTTCTACTCTAAACCCCTTTTCCTCTGAGAATTGTTCATTTAACCCCACGTATAGCTATATAGAATAGTTGTACTGAGGGGCGGGACATGGCTCAGCCATGTTATGAGCACTTGCTGTTCCTCCTGAGTTTGGTTCCCAGCACAGGTGTGGTGGCTCACAAGGGCCTGTAACTCCAGTTCCAGGGCATCTGACACCATCTTCTGACCTTGGCAGGTGTCTTAGTTACTGTTCTATTTCTGTGAAAAGACACCATGACCAAGGCGATTTATAATAGAATTTACTTGGAGGCTTGATTACAATGTCAGAGGATGAGCCCATGGTGGGAAGCATGGCAGCAAGGTAGGCAGGCATGGTGCTGGAGCAGTGGCTGAGAGATTCCATCTTATCTATAAATGGGAGGCATGAAACAAAAGAGAATTGGCTCTTGAAACCTCAAAGCCCACCCCTCCCCCAATAAGGCCATACATCCTAGTGATATGGTATAACCCTTCTGTACATTGTAAATATGTATTGCTCTTCTTGTTAATAAAAAGTGAATTGGCAGATAGCTGCATAGGAAGAGATAGGGTGAGACAGCCTAAGACAGAGAGAATGCTGGGATGAAGAAGGGTAGGGTTGTAAGACCCTGGAAAAGCTGAGGCTTCCAGAATCTTAGCCCAGGACCATGGCCACCCCAATCACAGAGTGGAGGCAAAAGCTTGATGCAAATTGCATGAGGCTTTATTGTAGTTTA